CCAAATTGGTCAGTTCGCAGGCTGCAAGTGAAGAGAAGCTATTGAAAGCAAACACCGGCAGGTCTGAGTAGGAAGGCCATTGAAACAAAAACATGACTGAGATGGGGTCATCGCAGATATTGATAGGCCTGAGGACTTTGTTCAACATTGTCCTCATTTCAAAAGGGATCCTCATCACCGTAGTACAGCGGTCAGCAAACCCACGCTTGCTCTTGTGCAGTTTTCTGCACACAGGGATGTGCTTTGAAAGCTGGTTCCACAACTGTGGCGTTCTGTTGTGTATCTTCTCCGTGGTTTGATCTACTGTGGGCACCCTGAGCATCTTGTTGATAGCGAGGCCGAGCTGTACAACAAAGCTGTCACTAGTAGATCCGCGGGGTTCGACAAGTGCGTCGGGCAAAGGAAGAATATGTCGCCTAGCGCTACGAAATGCAGCGCTTGCTGTGTGGTTGAGCAGGCCAAATCAGTGAGATCTTGGCAAAACCTCAACATATCAATGCGCACATGCCTGTCATGTTAGCCAACCTTGGCTAATTAAGCGACGTAGTGTGATCCAAGCCTTCGAACAAATCTCCGGCATGCGCACAACTGCAACATGGCTGGCCAACAGCCGGCATCTACCTGTACTGCACCCAAACACACTGCCTCAACCTCCCAAACCTACCAAATCCCCCAGGCCCCCTCCAAACCCCTTGTTGGCCCTCATGTCCAAATGCGGTCAACTTGGGCCTTCCAAAGAGCACACTGACCCCTTCAGTCTTCCGAGTCGGGATATATAGGCTTCCACAAGATCTGTAGGTGTTTTCTTATTGGCAGTGCCTGGAAGAAACGCGTAATTGTATATGTCGGCATATATTCTTCTAATTCAAACTTGCACTGTTACAAACGAATAGTTAGCATGTCATACGTGTGTTTCGACCTCAAAGCGCATCCACAAATGGTTTCAGGTTTGGGTGGACCTGGTGGATCAACAAACAAGCTCCTCGCAACAGCAAAACACACACACACACACACAGGCGCGCGCGCACATTGTTCAGATCACTGGAAAAGGAAACCCACCGAACCCACCCAAAGAAGAGAAATCCGGTCAAACCGGGAAAACTGTGACAACCCCCCCCCCCCCCGGTGGCGCCTGTTCATGATGGTCTTCCCCGCAGGCGGTCGCAAATAGGGAGGCACGTAGGCCTCATGAATCTCTGGCTGCCTGTTGTTGGTCTCTGGCCTCTTGCACAAACTTCGCGCTTGTTGCGTTGGTTGCGTTTGTTGCCCTGTTTTGTTGCTGTAGTTGCTCTTGATGCTTTCGTTGACAATTGGTGGGGACCTCTCACTGTAAGAAAATGATGATGTCTCACTGTTGTATCCCTTGACCAGTCATCCTGAGCGCTGCAATTAACCAACAACAACTTGCTTGCCAGTACATTGCACAAGGGGGGCAGAGCTTCCCACTTCGGTGAAATTATTCCCCAGAATATAAGCTGAAGGACCACCTTAAGGACCTCGATCTCTTGGTCACATCCGTGCGCCATGGTCCTGATTTCTTTGCCAGAATCATTATTTTGAGATGTTTGCCCCCATTAGCCACCTGTAGCCCAGTGTTGAATGCTGGTGCAGCAAGCCTCATTTTCAGCGATGTCGAAAATCCTGTGGTAGGGACGGGGGGATAGCTTCCGAGTGTGTCCGGGGAGAGGTATTGCTTACGTCCGCTCATGTCCCGGAGTGGCCCGGACTTCGGACTTGGAGGTCCAGGTATTCTCACCGGTTCTCCAGGGCTCGCGCATCATCTGCCCAACCGGCACGCGCCATGGCAGCTGATAGCGCAAAAGTAAAAGGCAGGCTCTGAGTGGTGTTCGGGGTAAGCGATGTGAAGTCCAGAGAAGTGAAAGAGAAGTGAAATCGGCTTGGGATCGTATGGCTGACAGGCACGCTTATATATGGAGCCATTATACATATATATATATATATTATGTATATTATATAAAATGTGAATGTTTCCTGTATCTAGTGAACTTGGTATGCACTTTTGGTGTTCGCCTGAAAGAGTTAATGTGAAATGCGCATGCAGTAGTACGCCGGCCATTGGACCAGCCCCCAGCAGGAGGAACCTGCCTGACCTTCAAACGCAGCGAGGAATGATGCAACATGATGCAATAGACGTACCGATCGCACTTGTGAGCCAGCCGATCGCGGCCATGCGGCTCAGAGGAGTGTAATACCAAGAATCATGGCCAATATCTTGGCCGGCACTGCAACAAATTGTTGAAAAGGTCCGTTTCCAACTCCGGCTGAAACCCCAATACCTAAAAGGGGCCAACAGCGCCTAACAGGGCCTGAAGTTCAGAGTCTAGCCTGGGGTATGGGCCCCCACCACAGGGACCGAAGAATTGCTCATGGAGGGCTTGGATCATGTGCAGACCATGGCTGCACTCCGTTGCTACGGGGTAAACTACGGATTATCCACGGCGATGTGACCGGATAAAATTGCACCTTTTGTAATCAAAAACCTTCTGCTTGTAGTGCATCAATATGTTGTTAAACAGCGTCTTACTAAGGCGGACTTGCCCACTTGCATGTCAAATGTAATATTTCAAGGATTGTGAACTGCATCGTTTCATCATGATTCCCGTCCCCTTCTATTTTAGAGAATCACCCTGAAGACCAGCAGCCCCAATCAAACCAAGTAAGGCACAATAAATCACAAAGACGGAGACAAGCTGCCGGCCAACCTCGACATGGGGCTTGTTTTGAACGTGTACAGCCTGATCTCACAAGAGCAAGCACCCCCGCTCACAGCCCTCACAGGCTCCTTGTAAAACTGTTCGCCACGCGTCAGTCTATGGATGGCCCACTTAATCCGCAGATGCTTGCAGACTGAGATTTTGCCGCGCTTGGTTGTGCGCTCCCAACACAAGAAAGGCCCGGGACAGCCCTGATTAATCAAATAATTACGTCACACAGCTCCAAGCAACACATTTCCTCAAGTTGCACAAGACTATTTGCAGAGCAGCAAAGCATGAAGATGTGCATTCAAAAACGCGATGCAAACAAGTTGTGACCACCTGCATAGCACGTGTTTGTTCTGGTTGGTCAGCAGGCACAAAAAACAAAGATATCCTTGCAGAAACCAAATGCTACAGTACGCCACATACTTCTGTTCGCCGCGCAAAATCTCGTCTGTTCAGCTGGCGAATAGTTGTCAGCTTTGGGCCCTTGGCACTGAACAAAGCAACCTTCCCATGCCAGGGTCAATGCATTCCAAAAATGGCTAAAACGCATAGATGTATCTTGAAAAACAGAAAACACTTTCATAAACAAAGCTGTGATATGAGCTGTCAAATTTGAGCCAACATGAGAGATCTAGGCATCCTGCTTCTTTCGCCTAAGCACCGTAGCACTGATGCTTTGGGGCTGACCAAGGAATCCTCATAATTATTCCAAAGGATGCAAACATCGTTGGCAGCAACGCTAGCCTGTTACATGGCTGTACATGGACCAATGCACCCATTGCTCATTTTGACTACCTGGGATGATGTCACATCGCAAAACCATTTCGCAGCTGTCATTTGGGCTTGTGTCAAACCTTGAGATCGTTTTTGGGATTGTTTTAGCAGGGACACAAGTTTGATCAACCCTTTGGATGGGACCCATTCCCTGTCGACTGATGATGGGCCATTGGCTGTAAATTGAAACCATGAATCGACGGGGAGGACAACTTTGGGTTAGTCTGGAATCATAGAGGGGTCCAACACTGACAGCCAGGTTGCAATCAAAGCCAAGAGACAAGTTGTCTGGCAGAACGCGCTCAGCTTCGAAAAATGCACAGGGGCAAATATCTGCCTGCGCACGATCGGCAGCACTGAACTCAGCGACCCAAAAGTAGATCCTCATAACGATATTATGATTTTACAATACTTGCAAAACATCCTGGCGACCTCGGTTTGACCCCTGGTGTGTCATCATAATTTGGCCAGACCGGATTCCGACTTCAACTCGGCATAATGCTAGAGATTCTTGCAATCTTCGAGCCGCACCGCTAACGGAACAGGGATGGCTGACAACGTGGTTTTGGGGGGAGGCTGGAAGGGGGTGGTCCAAGACATCATGGCCTTCTCGGAAAGCCCTGTGCAAAGATCTACAGTAGACTGGGCCCATGCTAGCCGATTCTAAGCAAGCAGTCAGGGAATGAAACTGTGTGACGCCCTGTTTCAAATTCAGGGGCAACCACTTGGTGTGTATGGATAATAAACCGTCTGCCGCATGAAACTGTTGGCTTTCGCCTTTAAGACATGGCTGGCCACAAAGCATGAGCTAGCGTACCACTCATTGATTGCTGTCTCAGTTCGCTGCGATGAAGCAAACACTTTAGGAAGCCCAGGCTTGTGATGTGTGCAAAGCTCGTGGGATGCGACGATGTGGGACGCATATCCAGGACTTTGTCTCTGGCTGACCGAGGTGCGGCACAACAATCGGTTCGTGTCTTTGTTGGGGGTATCCTTTTGTTGGCTTCTTTAAAGGGAAGGCAAACGGACAATCATCACTTTTGCAAGTTTCCCTTCTTTGGACACATACCCAAATACCAACACAAAACTGCCACAATGCCACATTATCATCCGTACCGGTCTCTCAAGCTCATGAGACGTGCACCGAGACCACCAACGTATAATCTGTGGTGAAGCACTTCAAAGTGACTCGGTGTGTCGTGCCCTCCGCTCCTGTTAGCTTCCGCTTACACGTCACCCTTGACAGTGACACAGTCCCGCCACGCTGCCCCGCCGTCTCCGCTGTTCTAAAAAGCTCACCATACAGAATTCAAATGAAATTAACGAATGAAAATCCCATAACACAAATATCATATAGCCAATCAAGGAGACCCCTTATGAAACTACGACTTGCCTTCAAGCCGCCCCTGTACCGAGAAGATCTTCACAGTGCTTCCAGCAAACCTTTCTGATCAGTCCCCCGCCTGGACCATTCACTAATCGATGTCCCACGGTCACGCACGGTCACGCGGGAGCTGTTGCACCTGGCGTTAACCGGCTTGGGAGAGCTTGTTGCTTCATGATGGTCTGATTTGTGATTGGTGGCGTGCAAGCCCTGATAACCTGCCCTTCCCTGATTCAGGCCAACCGCTCTTCAAGGACACGCGCAGAAGGGCATCCGAACATCCAATAATCAGTTGCGCACAAAGCGAGAACAACAACACTCTTGTGCGGAAATGAGCATCTCCAAGCACCACCCTCACACGCACACTCACTCACACACACACACACACACACACACGCACTCACACGCACTCACACGCACAGATTCACACAGCATGAGCAAGCAAATTATCACAGGCTGTCGACACTTTCTCCCAACCCCACATTCACACATCCACAAACACGCACAGTGAGCACACACTGTGTATGTAAATAAATATGTAAATATATGCAGGTGCGTCTATGTATAAGCTGGTGCACGCATATACCAATGTATTCCAATAGCTGTACAGCAATCAATGCATGCACCAAATGTTGTGCATTCTGAAGATTGCCGCGCCAATATGTTTGCACCATCCCTCAGGTGAAGGAATCAACAACAAACAAAAAAACAAATGAACAAGTTTTGTAGTCCTGGGATACACGCCCCTAATGTATTGCTTAGTCTTTATCTTTAGATTTTATGTGGTTTTAATATATCTCGTTAGCTCGGTACATGAATTTACTTACGCGCATGCTCATATTCATTCACATGTTGTGTGTTGTTCAAACATATTTGTGCAAATCCAGACGTGTGGCATAATATACAAATATATAGATTAAACAACATCTGCTGTCTTGTGCTGTGTATATGTATGCATACATATATATATATATATCATATATATATATATGCGCGGGGGCAGCCCCGTGGCCTGCAATTACCAGGCTGTACGCAGTCATCCGTAGACAGCCAGCTCCCCCAGAAGCCGAGCAAACTGCAATTCCAACAAAGCCAGAAAGCAAAGAACTCCAGAGGACTTTCGTCGTGGGTAAGCTCGTTGAAGCCCGTGAGCTCGTCATCGCAGACCCCCACTAAATTTGCATGGGGGAGGAATAGGCACTCTGTTTTTGGACCCCGCCCCCCCCAAAAAAAAACTGGAAGTCTCGGCAATTTGCCCAAAGGAGTATCCAGCCGGCGCCTTTGGCATCTCTTGTCAGCAGATCTGAGTGGAGCAGCACGCCGCCGTCAAGGGAGTGGCCTGATGGCACATTTCGATGGGTCGATGGAGGCTCTCAGCGGCGCCATGTGGGGGTGTCTTTTTTTTCGGAGGGTTGCCGTTTTGGGATGAATTGAAGTGAAGCAGAAGGAACATTTCAGCATTTGGGCTTCTCCCATGTGGAGAGGACGCCAGCCATCTTTCGAGGGTATATACCATATCAAAGCTTATATCCAGGACATGTCTGGAACCACTAGCTTTGCCAGTGTGAAAGTGGACGGGCTGGAAAAATACGTGCTATTCTATTGGGGAAACCAGACTAGCAGGGACGGAAATGCAGGGACCCGTGTATCCCCCAACCTTCCCCAATCCTTGCTTGACCGCACCCACGCGCCACTTGTTCAAACTCGTACTCAGTTTTCCACAGTTCGCGGCTGAGCACTACTTCAACAACCTACTTGCTCAGTCGCTCCAACAATTCCAGCTTCACTCCAGGACCTTCTCCCATGGAATCGCTCATTTGTTCAACGCCTGAGCTTAAGGACTGAATGCCTAACTCCAAAATCTCATCGACTGAATTGGTACACTGGCCTGACTCAGGTTCGCGCCATTCCTTCTTGTGAGCCCTTTCACGTTTCTTGCTGATGCTCGTGGTGAAAAACTCAATAAGACGAACAAAATGCTCAAGAGCCAATCAAGATGGCGCAGGTATTCCTTGCCGCCAACCGCACCAAGAGACATCCTGCCAGGCACCCGACGTCCGAAAGAATAGGCTAACTTCACGCATCAAGGGACCATGGGACTTCTTTCTCGGATACATAGAGTCTGAAAGGCAACCTTGCTTGAGAAGTCGAACTGCTTGTTGCAACTTAGTTCCTGAGTGGATAAACCAAAAGTTAGATCTATGAGCCATGAGAATCGCATATTCCCCAAGAGCACACCAATCCCCGATAGGGAAGCTTGCGCTGGGCCCTCTGATTTGATCCGAGCCGGGAAGCCGGGCAGTCCAGGTCGGCCAGGGAAGAGCAAGCCTGAAAGTGTTTGCCTCGGACCGCCGAAACGGAAGGCGACACGGACGGGACTGATGGGCGGGGGGTTCTCAAGATGGATCCCGTTTTGGCTACGGCAAGAGAAGACCAAAAGGAAAAACGCCATTCTCTCGACCGAATATTTTTCCTCACCCTGGTACAGGCAGGAATGAGCCCAAAGCGTCGTCCTTGGACAACTGCGGTTCCTTTGACAAGCCTTTGTAACCGCTTGGTCGGTACAGAATTCTTGGGAATACCAGGTAAACGGAAGTTACTTCCTGCAAACCCAAACCTATTCCGGCGCCCCGTTCATTGAGGGTGCGCTGATTCACCGTGATTGCGCCACAGCAAAATGACTTTCCTTCGCTGGACCAGATCAATTTGCACATTGATTGCGGCACTGCGCACTGGATGGGCCATTCTGTCAGTGGCGCATGCGAGCAAGACTTTTGATCCTGCCGATGAAGTCTTCGTCCTGGTAGCAGTGATGGAACCGAGGGTTTAGTCTGAATGCGAGGTCCTTCGCCATGTGGTCCAGCATGTGTAACTTGGGTCTGACCTTGAAAAGCAGTACGCCCCGTTCTGTGGCCATCGATGCCAGCAGGACTGCTTGAAATGCCGAATTTGGCAATTGCAGTCGACACTGCAGATTGCAATTCAAAATAAGTCTTATGAAGTCTGCAGCGCTGGCGAACAGACGTGGGTCCATACAGTACAGTAAAGTGCAGTGCAGTTATTGGTCTTGACTGCGACCCTGGACACAAGTGGGATACAAAGCTGTGCCTAAGTTTGCAAAGGCGGCTCAACGGCTGCTGTTTGCAGAGCTTATGATTGCCACACCCAACTGAACGAGAGGCACGCCCTTGAACTGGGCAAGACGCACTAGCCTACTCAAGCATAGTCCAAGGATGTCTATAAACGTTGAGGGTTCAGGCAGCAAGCTCTGGCTGCCTCTTCACAGGCAAGCATTTGAGATTCCAGTCCAGCAAATTACAGTACATGTGGCACCAAAAAGGATCCCGTGTTTGGGGTTGACCCCCTCTTTTAGTGGGGAACCCGCCAAACAAAAGGCAACCAAGACAAGACGGCCTCCACTAAACACTTTGGGTGTCCCCTCTGTTCAAGGGTTTTGTTCCAATGAAGTCTGGACGAAGGCAAACAAGGACAGATAGGAAAGCAAGGACCATGCACCAACACGATGGCAGCTAATGAAAGGCTGAGCAACGTTGCTTTCATCAAGCATATAGACCCAGCTTTAAATTATCGAACAGGTGGAATCCCACTGAGCTGCGGTTTTTGGTGAGCAGGCATGTCCGGGGTTGAACAATGGCGAAATGGCGTATCCGGAATACAGGGCTTCTCCGAGGACCCTGGCCCGAAGGTTCCTGTTAAAGGGAAACAAAGGAAACAAAAGAAACACCAACTGGTGATGTACCTGTAGAATTTGGTTGACTTACAGCTCAGAGCAACCCTGAAATAGTTCGTTTTGCTGTGGTGGGGGGAAGCAAAGGTCGCCCTGGCCCTATGCGGATGGACAAAGTTCTGCCCCGGTTGGGATGAAACCCTGCGACTACCGGCATAAACCGTCTGGTGCGAAGTGGATTTTGTCCATCCAAATTATGTTGGTTCAAGAAAAAGGAAAGCCCGCCCAAATTCTGGCAAGCCGGATGCCAGTGTTCTGGGCCAACCGCAAGCCAATGGACTCCGCAAACCAGTGTCTGGATGGTTTGCATAAGTTGTTGGGGTCGATTCGGGGCCGGGAAGTGCCTGCAAGAAGAACCCCAAAACATAGCCGATGACGCCACCAAAACCCTTATTTGCCAATATAGAATGTCTCTCTGAATCTTTCGTTTTAAAGACTAGCGGTCGTTTTGAGGCGATTTTCCTGAATATAGTCTTATACAGGCATGGTTGGATTCTGCTCCAATGATTTACACCTTAAAATGTAAACAAACGCCAAAGTGCAGGATAGCATGTATCTGGGCTTGTCTTAAAATAAGGGGAACCCATGGAACCCTGAAAAAACCAGGTGGCCTCCCTATTCCTGAAACGCCGCCGAGGCTTCAGCGCACCGCCTCCTCCGACAGGCCATAGTGGCTCAGTGACCTAGGCAGGGCTTGGCTCCGGACATGGACCCACAAAACGGTTGAGGTGTCCTGTCGACCTTCCTGACAAAAAACAATCAACGGGGGAGTTGGGAGTTCCCGCCATTTGGTTGGCCTTCACCACAAGGTGGGGTTGTCCAAATAAGACACACCGGTATCTCGGTGAGTATATACAAGTAGCAAGGCTTTCCCCTGAACATGCCTGAGAGTCCCATGGTGTGTCTAAACCATGGATGTAACCTTTTGCAAGGAGCAAAATCACCCAGGGTACAGGGCACCCTGGGAACTAACCGAGTAGACAGGCCTGGAGCACCATGTTCAACTGACACTCAAGAAAACCCTACATGCCGAACATTCGGGAAAGTATTAGGTCAGGCTAGCCTGGTTGGGTTCAAACATAGTAACATACAAGTACATTGTGTTAAACGGGGTTCAGCCAACGCGTTGGCTCCTGCGGCGCCACACGCATTGTGGCCATGTAATCCAGACTAGAACCCTTTTCCGTAAGAGCCTGCTTACCGTTCCTTGACTGAATACTTGGTAAGCAGGTCTACGGTACGGGGGAAACAACTCCGCGACACAAAATAAAGACAAGAGCATTCAAACAGGGCTGATCAAAGCTCTGTCAGGTGGGCTGCTTGGCTTGAATACCGCAATTCCTCCCATCCCACATGCAAGCCCATATTTGACGGATGGAGAAGCTTGGATGGAACACTTCGAAACAGGTAACAATCGCGGCCATGCGGTGAACCTGCAAACATGCATTTCGTGAATGCAAGTCAATCCCGCTCTTGTAGTTGCAATACCGCAGAAAGCGAGAATTGTATCTGACAATTAATGGCTAAGTGATGGGCCTGTCAAAAGGCACAACTCCCTCGCTCAAAGCAGCTTTGAAGATTTGGGAAGATCGGCACAACGTGTCCCAGATGTGAAACAGTTATTCTCGACGGCAGAAACACAACTCTCATCTCGGTAAGTACAGCAAAACAGGACCAGGTGCCCTCGCGCATCATGGTATCTTTGGCGTCCTCAGTCGGCACTGATGCGAAATCTAGCAATACTGTGGATGGAAGCACGGCTTTCACACGGTTTCACCCATCCCAACTGGGCGCGGATGAGTTGATCATCGTGGATTGCCGTTGAATGAGGCCTCCCATCCTGGGTCAGAATGAGGTACCCTGATGCACCATTCCAGGCTTGCCTACGACGCCTACGCAAGAGAGGAAGCAGTGATGCTACATTGCCTACGCGAACATCATTCAGTTCCCTTTTTGTGTAAACCCTTGATTCCAGAAAAAAGTGCTGGCCATGTGGCTTCCCTTTAAGGCCAAAAGCTTCAAAATGAGGAGCCACTCCTCCGAGTCTGAATTGAGGCGTCGACCCTTCTCGTTTCGCAGTCTCTGCGCACTGCTCGCCTCCAAATACTCCTTCATTGCCTCAAAGGCATGGCCCATGGATCCGACTGTCTCTTGACACATGCAGTACCTGTGCAACTTCCCCCAAATTGAATATGAATATCCATGTAAATGTGTACATGTGTTTTCAACATGTGCTCGTAAAAGATCCTCTGTGTTTGATTGTAGGTAACATGCCGGATGCACAAATCAAACATACGACGCATGGCCGGAGCCTCCAGGAAATTGCTTCTTCTGGCTTTTGCGGTGTTGGGCTGCGAGTTGGAACAGTAGAAGCATGGAACTTTGGCCAAGTTGCAATTGTGTCGGGGGGGAGGGGGGGGCGAAACAAATGGACTGTTATTCAAAAAATGTGCTGGACAACGCCTGTCTGAGCCCGCCAAATTGTGTGGCCATCTGGTTAGGCGGCCATGCGCTTTGAACGCATGACCACCGGAAATTCGAGAGCCTTCCCAACGTCAACACGTGCAATCCGTTCGACTGAAAACCAGTTGCTCGCTGAAAAATAGTGGCGCGTTCTCGTAGAAATAAAGAAACCTGACAAATCGGTCGGCAGGCCTTGTCTGTCTCAGAGTAGCAAGCTCAATTTGGCGCCGTGCATATTTAGAACTTGTATGCAACTTGCCAGCTGCCACTTCTTTGACACGAGGGCAATCCTGTGAATACGCTGAAGAGAAAATAATGATATTTTTGGTTGGGAAATTTGTGCTACTTCTGGACAGAGAGTCTCAGAGTCGATGCCCTGCCAAGCATTAGAACATGTTCATAATTGATATGGTTCACCAGAGGTCCATCCCTGCCTGTTTGCAGCCCCTGCCTGTCGGTGTTCAAGACTCACGCGCCAGCCTCAGTGGTTTCTCATGCCAGGGGAACCCCAACGCCATCCAAACCACGTGTTCGGACGTTGCTTCGCAGAACACCTTCGAACATGCCGTCAAAAGGGAGCTTCCATGCAAGCATGTAAAGAACTGCTTGGGCGCGGGTAGGAATTCCTTGCGTGCCTCATCCCGAAACCGCTCCTCTGGGTTGCATTGGCAAAAAGAAGCCCAAAATTTCGGAGCAAACTCAACCACCTCTGGGTTAAAGCCTAATTACCTGGGGGGTAGTCAAACAATGGAACCCAAAAGACGATGCCAACGTCAATGGTGATTGCCCCCCTGCTAGCATTGTTATAAGTGAACCCACTTCTAGAAGTACATGCTAACATACTGACTTGGACATTTGCATCACACATGTACTAGGAATACGTTTTGTTTGTTCCATTTCTTGTTGGATTCCGATCAAAGCCATTCACAAGGGGTGTAATTATTTGACAACAGTAACCCCCATATTCACCGCTCATCACAAAAGCCTGGTCTGACAGCGCTGCCAGGCTCGCCCTTTGGCTTCCGCTGGGTCCTTAATTTTGAGAATCACACATGCGATAGACTTGTCAAGGCTGCCGATGGTGAGGCAGCGGCGATGGCTGCAAGTTATGCTACACAAACATGAAGCGCCTGTTGTTGTTTCAGGCCGTTGCTGCAGTGATAGAGACTCTCGTGCCAGGTAGTCAAATGTCGGCTATGTTGAATGAACCCCTTTCCAACATCTGTGGCCCTGCACTCGGCCCATTATTCTCAAGAGAGGTCAGCGAGGATCCTCCCCACCGTTAACCCTTGAAACAATGTTTATGTCAACCCCAAATGAATAATAATAATTTTGTGGATGACCCCCGCATTGCCAGCCTGGGCCCCTTTGGAGTATCTCCAAAGGGGCCCACAAGGTTTGCCAGCATTTCGTCATAATTTTTCCGTGTAGCACCCAATGAATCCACTTCGGGTGGATCAGCTGAGCATCGAGGCTCTGCAAGGCTGTCGCGCCAGCGCCAATATTCAACTCAGAGTATAGAGTCAGTCCCTTGTCATTTGCCGATCATGCGTGAACCGGCGCTCATGCGGTCATCAATGCATACTGACAGTCACTTGGTTAAGTAATGCTGTTACCCTATTTCGCATAACAAGGTATTTGCTGCAACAAGGCGTATGCTCCAAACAGATTGCACACAACATGTGTAGTGCTGGTTGGCCGGTCCGTTGGAGCAAACAGTGATTGATCATTGGAAACCATTTCCCTGTAGGAAATCTGAGTGGTGAAACCGAACCAGCTGCTCTTGCGTACGAGGTTTGCATGAATTGGTAGATTGGCAGGTGCTGGGTTGCTGCAACCACAACTCTACAAGCAGCGAATGACTGAATTAGCCATTGGTCAGGTTTGGCGTGGTATATTGAAGATGCACCGGCCGTGGTACACTGACAGCTTGTGACGTGTGAAGTCAAGGACTCGGGCCGAAGGCGTTGTAGATTCTCTCCACAACTGCCACCTCGGAGAGTCGGCCCAGAAGAATCTGGCCATCTAGCTTCGAAGATGGTTGATCTACAAGGCATGCCGAGACACTGTGCCAATCTGAGTCTGGGCCAACAAGAAAGTGTGCAATTCCACGACTAGATTGTTCTAAAGCATTGCGAAAGGAATTGGGAAACCAGTCGGGCCCAATGCAGAGAAGTGATGCCGGTGGTCCGCTTGGACCAAATGGGCGGCCTCATGGATCAGACATATAAAGGCCCACTCAAACCCAGTGGATCCGAGTTGCAAGAAAAGTACATAATCTTCAATTGTCCTTTTGGTTTTCAAAGGGTGGTTCCCTTGTGTTATATAAGTAAATGGGTTCACTGGGAGAGATGTAGCAGGTACGCCCGACGCAGTCGGCAAAAACAACATCCGCGAAAAGCTCCCTTGCCATTCGGATGCCCAGGCGTGATGTATGCAAATCCTTCAGCTTGTCGGACTCTTTGCCACTTATGCCTGAACACAGCTGTCAGAAATTCGATGAGCCCTTCCTCCACATAGCTCCTGGCACTTGGCCAGGAAAGAAAAAGGGCAGTTGATTGATGGTAGAGGGAGAATCCCGCATAAAAGGAAGGAATAAAGGCAGCACTGGCTGTCTGGGAATCTCAACACTGAATCCGTTGGGATCCGCGCAGGGTCTGCCACGAGGCTCTCGTACTGTACATGCAAAAAGCGCTCGGCCTCCTGGAGAAAAAAACGAGACGAGTACTGGATGCATGTGTGGTGTTTTTGAGGGTATCTTTCTCACCTTGGTCTAAAGGAAAGCCAACATTCTGGGTTGGTATAGAGGGAAACCAATGGAGAGAGTCTGATTTGGGGTCCCCCAACCGTTTTCAGCCAGCGGTGGATTTCTGTTTCACAAACAAATAGCCTGACCTTGGCGACTGGAGTTTCCAAACTTCAGATTCAAGCACTTTCAATTCCCTCTCCTGGCTGAGAAAGGGGCGCCCGCTACAAAGGACCCAGAAGCAGGGGGGAGGAGGTGGGGCCGCTGCGGCATGGATTGGAAAGGCTCCTTTGGACGGTTAGCACCTTGCCCCTGGAACACAACCCTTCGGCCCCATATCAGCGGCACACAGCTAAAGTTGTGCCAACTATGGAAAACCCCTGCATTTATGTAACATTCCGTTGGCAGACAGCCAATGTCAGAAGCGTTGATGAGCCCATTTGGCTGAATGCAATGCGCAAGGTAACCTCCTTATTGAGAATGTGCCCCAGACTTCATTTTAGTCATCCAAATCCATAGGCATGCAGCGTCCCTGAATGGGTAGCTTCGTGCTCGCTTCCATTGAGCATAAAACACTCAGGGGACCCGAATGCTAACGGATCCCCAAATACCACCCTCTGAACTCCCTGCAAAAAGCCAAGCCCTCGCAAAACCTCAAAACCAAGTCAAACCTGATTACCCCATGGCCTTGGCCACGGTTCAGAGCATGGCTCAGCCAAACGAATTTCTGATCTTGTTGTATCAGCCCCATGGGGCAAGAGTTGCGGAGTTGGGGCAGTTCAAACGAGGGTTCCGGGGAGGGGATAGGTTCGAGGCGGTTCCGAGTTCTCGCAATGCCGGGGGCCAGCTCCAAGGAGAGGGCGCGAATGTGCCTCAGGCTGTTGGTGATATCGCCTGAGAATGGTTTGAGTCCTTGTGGCTTCCCTTGAAATACTTTACCGACCAACAGGGGCTCCAAGGTTTCGCAAAACACAACATTGATTCCATTCATGTTCAGTTGGGTTGCCGAGTTGCCCATTGCTGATCTGATTTTGAGCTTGGCGGCACGCACATCCCTTCTCCTCTCCTCGTTCTTTGGAAGAGCACCCGAAGCCCTGTCGCGCCAACGGGCCAAGGGGGCGATTCATCTAATCCCCAAGTGACCTTTTAATCTCGGATGACCTCGCTATTGCACAAATTCCTGTGCACACCCAGAGGATCCAGTTGGACAAATTGAAGATCACAGGCCCTCCATGCAATGGTCCACGCAAAGCCGCATGTAGGGCCAGTGAGTAGGTTTTGCCAGGGGCGGTATGTCCTGCTCGAGGAGAATCTGTGCTGGCTGTGCAGAAGAAAGGTATCACAATGCCTCACATCTATGAATCCCCTTGAGACAGCGGATAAAGTCCTCACTCCTGCGTTTTTGACATGGACTCGTGGAAGGAGCGTCTCAAACTGCAGATCACAGCCACTGATTGGTTGAAGCAACGAAGCGAGACATGTCAACACAAGCAGATTGAGGCGCTCGACGCCTGCCTCTGCACGGTTTCACAAGCTTGTACAACGCTGCGCAACAAACATAGGATTATGATGTGTATCCTGCTTGCAATCGCTGAGACGACCGTATGGCACAAGTATGGCTGCACGACTCAGGACTGAGCCCACAAACAGCGCGCCGGACAATGCAAGTCACCAGGCTGTAGCCCGTCTTTGATCTTTCAATTTATCCCGACAGAAACAATTCATTGCTTTGACTCCTGCTGTCTACCTATCTCCGCTTTTTCATTGCATTGACTCCTGCCGTCTACCTATCTCCGCTTTAGTCGCGAACCTGATGGGGTCTAAGACCATTGTTGTAAAGAGTCTTGTGGGCTACCTTTTGTTTATGGTCCAAAATTTGGCCGGAACTGTACCCTACTAACCGTCATTCGCCCAGGCATCTATTGTAGCCTACTCGGAGTTTGGATTGGTCCAAAGGATGTCCGCATGCTTTCCCTTTGTGCATCGATATATGTAAGGACAAAGCAAGGGCCGCCGTTGGATTGAATAGAAATGCCTGGAGAGCATCCGGCAATCAAATCGATGGGATCCGCATGCGCCTTTCGAGCGCGTCTGAGAGATATCTCAGCGCTCCTCGGCCCACCTGCGTGCGACGCAAGGAATCAAAACATGTCAGGGCAAACCGCTCGATCCCGCCATCTTGCAAAGACTTTGCTGCAACCGACAACAAGCGGGATGCACCCTGCGCTGTAAAGTCCAAATACGTGGCATAAAGCTCTGTCCCAAGTTGAGCCTCTGCTCCTGCCGTCAGACTCCTGCTAAGGGGGGCAATATATGAGCTACAGTGTGTGTGTGTGGGTGGGTGTTCCTGTCTGTGCCCGTGAGCGTGCTTGCGTTGCGTTGCATCGCGTTGCGTTGCAATGCGTTGCGTTGCGTTGCGTGCGTGGGTGCGTGGGTTTGTGTGTGTGTGTGTGGGTGCGTGCGTGCGTGCGTGCGTGCGTGCGTGCGTGCGTGCGTGCGTGCGTGCGTGCGTGCGTGCGTGCGTGCGTGCGTGCGTGCGTGCGTGCGTGCGTGCGTGGGTGGGTGGGTGGGTGTGTGTGTGTGTGTGTTTCTGTGTGTGTGTGTGTGTGTTCGGGTGTGTGTGTGTGTGTGTGCATGTGCGCGTGTGCGTGTGCGTGCGCGCGCGTGTGCATGCGCGAGTGCGTGCGCATGCGGGTGTGCGTGCTAGTGCGCGTGTGCGTCTGCGTGCTCGTGCGCGTGTGCGCGTGCTTGCGCGTGTGAGTGTGAGTGCGCGTCTGCACGTGCGTATGCGTGTGCGTGTGCGTGCGTGCGTGCGCGCACGCGCGTGCACGCGTGCGTGCGTGGGCGTGGGCGTGGGCGTTTGCGTACACGTTTGCGTGTAAATGTGCGCGCGCGCGCGTGCGCGCGCGTCCGCGTGTGCCTGCGCGTGTGCGTGTGCGTCTGCGTGTGGGTGTGTGTGTGTGTGTGTGTGCGTGTGCGTGTGCGTGTGCGTGTGCGTGTGGGTGTGTGTGTGTGTCTGTGTCTGTGTCTGTGTCTGTGTCTGTGTCTGTGTCTGTGTCGGTGTCCGTGTCCGTGTCTGTGTCTGTGTCTGCGTCTGTGTCTGCATGTGTCTGTGTCGGTGTCGGTGTCCGTGTCCGTGTCTGTGTCTGTGTCTGTGTCTGTGTCTGCGTTCGCGCGTGCGTGCGTGCGTGCGTGCGTTTGTGTGCATGCGCAAGCGCATTATCTTGCGCGTGCGCGTTCGCGAGCGCGCGCGCGTGGGTACGTGTGTGCATGTGCGTGTGCCAGTGCATGTGCGTGCGCAAAAGAGTGTGCATGCGCGTGCACATGTGCGTGTGCGTTTGCGTGCGTGCGCGTGCGTGCGCGCGCGTTCGTGCGTGCGTGCGTGGGTGGGTGTATCTCTGTGTGTGTGTGCGGTCTGTGTGTGTGTGTGCCAGTGTGTGTGTGTGCCAGTGTGTGTGTGTGTGCCAGTGTGTGTGTGTGTGTGTGTGGGTGTCTGTGTGTGTGTGTGCCAGTGTGCCAGTGTGTGTGTGTGCCAGTGTGCCAGTGTGCCAGTGAGTGTGTGTGTGTGTGTGTGTGTGTTTGTGTGTGTGTGTGCTTGTGTTTGTGTGTGTGTGTATGTCTGTGTGCGTGTGCGTGCGTGTGTGTTCATGGGCGTGCTTGGGGGTTCGTGCGTGGAGGTGGGTGGGCGCGCGCGTGTGCGCAGGCGCGCGGGTGTGCGATTCCCGGTCGAAACTTTGACGAAGCTCTGCTTTTGCCATGAGAGCGATACCCAATAATTGCACATTAACAGGCACACATTAACTTCCAGAATCTTGCTGACGAGCAGTAGATGCAGCAACAGATTCGCATGTAAGTCTTGCAATGGACAACCTGTACATAGTGTCAAGGGCAGGTTTCACAACGGATGTCGATTAAAGGATCTCAAGGAGCATCACTCACAAGTTTTAACAGCCCTTGGTTGATCGCATGCAATCCCCGACCACGGCATCATGCTGGAGATGGAAAGCTCGCAGCCCCACAGCCTCAAGCTTGTCGTGAGGCCTGCGTAGAAAGACCTGCGCATCCCCAGCACCCAGCATCCATGCGCAGATGTGATTTGGTCTTAAGTTGTCATAGCTCCTACCAAGTGAAAAAACAGCATGAATTACAGATCTATGTATAAATATATCTAAATAAGTATACACATAGATCTGTGTACATTGCTTTGTACATCAATGTATGCCGAGTTATACACGTGCGCCACTCGTGCTTAACAGACAAAAGGCTCAGACCGAGATAGGTGGGCAACATGATGATCAATTAAATGATTGCGATCCCTTGCCGGAACCTACTTGCCTTAAATGACATACACATCTTCACGATGGGAACCGGGAGTCATCCAGAGCAGGGTGCATGCATCGCCCCGCAACCTCTTTCAGCAATGAATCCAAAGCAATCCTTCGATCGAGTTGCGATAACTTCCGACTGAACAACAAATGGCTTCTGGCTTCTGAGAAACCTGGATCTTGGATGCGTGATCCTCTTGTTCTATGGTTTTCGAACGGCTCCATGTGAGTAAGCGTTGCCTGAACTCAGCCAAATCTACCCACATCACACACCCGAGCAAGCAAGGCATGTCCAAAGCTAAAAGATAAATTACCAACAAACAAACAAACAAACAAACAGACAGACAGACAAACAGATTGACAGACAAGCAGACAGACAGGCAGGCAGACAGGCAAAGAAGCAAACAAGAGATGGTGAAGGCTGCGCCACATGAGGCAAAGATGTACTGGGGGGTCAAACAGAATCCACACGATTCCCATGATTCAGCGATGTAGGCCAAAACAAACGCACTACGGGCTGATTGAAAGGGACACCTAGATGCTGATGCTGAAACGCTGGTGTACTACAAACATGTATTAAACAGGTGGCAACGGCCCCCCCAAGGTTTGCCCTGTTTGTGGCACCCGTCAGGCAGCTCGCACTCATGATCTTGCCGAATGAACCTGATCGACACTACCAGTTTACAAGCACCATATATTCCTGGGATTCAAATTTGTTACCTAGTGTTCGAGCAAATATGCATACTACCTCAATCCTTGCTTTAACCTAGTAGAATGACAAACCCACTGGAATGACTGGCAAGTCCGGCCGGTCCTCTTGCTGGCTCCTTCTTAAAGAGCAGAGTGAGCCAACCTGGGACAAACATGGGGTCATGTTTTATGTTCAAGTTGGTATGCAAGTGTTTAATGACGACATTTGGTGCACATCAATTCTTTGGAGATCTATGTCCACCAACCGTTTGGGAGGGTATTTTGAAGTCAATATGCGTCTTGCGGATATGGATATGTTGCATGGTAAGCATCCCCAAATAGATCCTGCCCTGCTCAGAACCCTGCCAATATTTCAAAGGTTTGTTGAGCCTTGGGTTGGGGCGTGCAACCGATAGATATGACAGGAAAGCACTTTGACGTGCGTCAAGTTTAGGCCAAGTAACAAAAACAACCCTAGGCCCATCCAAACCAAAGAGGTGCAGCTTCAACGTCAAATCGTGATACACAGCTTGGGTGACCCTGGATGAATTCCAACAAGTGGGTTCTAGTATGCTATTCATATGACTGTCCTTTGGTGCCAGCTCGAATCCTTTTATGAGAACCCGCTGAGGGCCCGCTGACAGCGCAAAGCTTGATGCCGTTTGGTCAAAGCATATTGTCTGTGCTTGACTCAGGCAATGCGTCAGCTTGCAAAGGTCGCACCCACAACGTAGCTGTCACGGCATTCGGATGGTTCCGGAATGATCCATAGATGTCGTTGCGTTGATGTCTTTTGATATTGATAATGCCTGTGCTGAAATGCTCAAATGCACTGCATGTTTGACACAGCTTATCACATAACTACACTGCGTTGATACAACATCTTCTGATCGCAAATGACAGTGTGAGACAGAGCACCCGGGCATGTCATCAACTCTCAGAAGACAGTTTGTCTGCTTGCGTGCGTACTGTAGCTGACAGCACTGTCCATCTGAGAAAAGCGCCGAAAATATACTTTTTGGATGGGGCCCTCTGCAATCGCAGCATCTCTGTTGGTTGCCTAGTGATGCATGCGACGTTTGGTTTCCAAAATCACATGGTCACCCCTTTTTTGCCGGGCTTGTTAAAATGCAGCCTGCAAGATGGG